CAAGACCGTTTCAGGCTGGACATAAGGAAGAATTTCTTTACTGTCCGAGCCCCCAAGGTCTGGAACAGCCTGCCACCGGAGGTGGTTCAAGTGCCTACATTGAACACCTTCAAGAGCAAACTGGATGCTTATGTTGCTGGGATCCTATGACCGCAGCTGACTTCCTGCCCTTTGGGCAGGGGGCTGGACTCGATGATCTTCTGAGGTCCCTTCCAGCCCTAATGTCTATGAAATCTATGACTACAGTTTCCGCGGCAGCCTGCTGGAACCCTGTGAACAGATCAGGGGCCTGTGTCCCCTGGAAACAGCTGGAGAAATTATCAGAGAGCTGGGGAATCGAACAGGGAGCTAGATGTCAATATCAGAGCAGTCCTTCCCCTTCCCGCTCCTTCTCCTTAGTTTCTGTTTAGCTGCAGCAAGCCCAGCTTCGAAACTCAAAATGTTTTGAAACTTTCGAAACATTTCCAGTGCCCTCATTTCAAAGCCTCTTGTTTCATTTATATTTTGTTGTTTCAAGTTTGAAACGCATCAAAACATCTTCGAAACAAAACACCTGGAGAAGTTTTGCACAGCCCTAGCGCCCAGCCCAGGATGACTAAAAGAGGCTCCCCGATTGACTAGTTGATCAGGATTGACTGGTTAGGGACCCCTGATCTAGGCATAGCTATACCTATGTTCTACAATGTGCATCTTCCATGCTTCTGGGCTTTGCTGATTGGCCCTATGCCCACTTGCTGCTGCATGTGCCGGGGTGTTTCTAAGCCTTCCTCGGAGGCATTGGGTCTTGGCTGCAGCCAAGGCTGGGGACTTTGATTGGGGTATGCCAGTGTTCCTGCTGGGACCAAAGCTGGAGGTTTCTGGCTAGGGGGTCTTGCTCCTCTGCTCAGGGTCAAACTGATCACCATATTTGGGGTTAGGAAGGAATTTTACCCTATGGTCAGATTGGTATGGATTGTGGGTTTTTTTTGCCTTCCTCTGTAGCTGGGGGAGAAGGGGGTGGTCATGGTTCTACCTGGGATCTCTTGAATAATATATTGACAATATTTCATAGAAGGAGGACATTGGTTACTATGGCTGTCCTGCTTTATCTGTGACAGGTTAGGGTGTTAGGCCTGTGTTGTCAGGGTTGATGGTAGTCTTATGCAGAGGTTTTAAATTATGGATTGTATAGGATTGTTTGGATAGGAATGATGCTGCCTTAGGCAGGCGGTTGGATTAAATGCCCTCTAGGGATCCCTTCAAGCCCTACTACTCTGATTCTAGGATTCTCTATAACCTTAGGAAGTTTGAAAACAACTTAGCATATGCTTAGCTGTGGTTCTCCTTACTGCAGTCTGGAGGCAGTGTAGATATGCCTTAAGTGCCAGTTAATTCAAAGTTTTAATACTGTTGACCTGTAAAAGTGATATATCACTTTTTCAAAAATTTTACTTTGCAAATTGGTTCATCAAGAAACATTAAATCATCAGCTTCTTCCTGCATTATTATATAGTGCTGCCTTTTAGAGTTTGTTACTGGAGCTTAAATCTGTTTCTGTCTAGTTTTAGAAGGTATAGTCTGTGTTTCAGAACTTATTTTATATAGGTATTTACAGTTTGTACAAATAAATTGTTTGTCATTTGAATTTAGTTAGATTCTTCAGTCTTTTACTTTTCCTTCTGGTGGTTATTTTTTAAATCTCATACATGACCCAGGCTGGGAAAGCATGAAAAGTTACAGGATGAATTGTATTGATGGGTCCTCTTTTCATCCACAGATACCCAGATAGTGACTCTCCCCCTCCCCCCCGCCCCTTTCCTGCTTCACATCAATGGGCTATGGCTGAGAAATGTGTTCATTCTTTATTTTCCAGTCGCTGGGAAGAGCTTTATGATATGTTGAACAGGTGCATAAGAGGAAATAACACTGGTTCCTTCTGCTATAGGAATTGCTTAATTTGGGGTGATGGAACTCAGTGTCAAATGTGTGGTAGGAAAATATGGGAAATAGATTTAGGTATGTATTCTTAAGGGAAATGCTTAAAGGGAAAGGTAGTTAAGCGTCTGTCCCTCTTTTAATCCAGGTCTGCTACATAAAAACAAAAAAGCTATTGAAGCTTTTCAGGTGTCCTGTCTTCTGCTGCCACCAGAAAATCGGAAAAAACTACAGTTACTGGTGAGGATGATGGCAAGGATCAGCCTCAACAAGGATTTGCCACCTCTTTCTGATACAGCTAGTACCAGAACATTGGTAGGTCTATTTCTAGTGTGGAAAATCTAACTAGGCTTACAAAATCTTTTGTTTAGGTTGCACATATACCATTTGTTGAGCATATTCAGCTATGGTTGTGTTCTGTAAGGGGAACTTTGTGTATTCTTTCTCTGTATACCCTCCTTAATATGCATATTTAGATGTTTGGGGGCTGCTGCACCTGTCTTTTACTGTTTTGGGGCCTAGGTTTTACTGTTGAGGTTAAAGTGTGCAATTGTAAAGGGAAGATGGATCCCACCAGCCCTCCCTTCCAAAACTGTGAATTTTGTAGGCCTGCAAATGTTGCATAGCTTCCCATTGGCAAAGGTGCAGAGATCTGCAGTAGGAGGGTGGGTGGGTATATGTGTGTGTGGTGGAACAGGAGAGATTTCAGGCAGAAGTCATTTCTTGGCTGGTCATTTGGCTCATCAGCTATTTAAAGAGAAAATCTTTATAAGCATGAGACCTTATAGTGCATGCAGGTGGAAGCCTGACGCACATAGCAAAAATTGCTTAAAGTCTCTTAGCCTGCAGTGACCAGGACAGGATCTAAAAGAGCAGGGTAACTCTTGGTGGCGGTGGCCAGAGCAGTAATCCCCAGCAGTGATTCCCTCTGGCTAGAGCAGTGATCCCTAGCACCAGTGACAAACTCCAGTGAAGGCCTCCCCACCTAGCACTTGCTATTTTGGCTGGCAAAGATGGTAGAGACCCTGGAGCACAGCAGCAGTCCCTGGCAGTGAGGAGCATCAGGGTCCTCTAGAGTGGGCCTTGCTACTAAACACTAGGGCTGTGTGAAATTTTGCTGGGTGTTTTGTTTCAATGCATTTCAAGCTCAAAGCAGCGAAATCGAAATGAAGCAAAGGGCTTTGAAACAGCTTCGAAACGAAACGAGGGCACTCGAAACATTTCGAGTTTTGAAGCCGGGCTTACTTGGTTCAGCGGCGGTCCCAGGTGGTAGTGGCAGCCTCCTCTCATCTGGCATGCATATCCAAGGGCCCACGCCCCCAGGAGGTCTGTGGGGCTGTGCTGGGCTCCTCCTGGGGGTGAGGGCCTCTGGATCTACACGCTGTGTGAGAGGAGGCTGCCACTGCTGCCTGGGGTCAGCAGCAGCAGCAATCTTCCCCAGCGCTGGGCACGGGCTGAGCCCAACACTGGTCCCAGGTGGTAGTGGCAGCCTCCTCCCATCTGGTGCACAGATCCGGGGGCTGCACCCCTAGGAGGAGTTCAGCACAGCCCCGCAGTCCTCCTGGGGGGTGCAGGTCCCAGTTCTGTGTGTAGAATGAGAGGAGGCTGCCGGTGCCGGCAAGTGTCACGAGTTTTGCTTTGAACAGTTTTGAGGTGCCGTTTCTCAGAAACCTCTGTACCTATCTCCTTGAAATGTAGCAGACTTTATGCCCTCAGAAGGGGCTACCATCCCTGCAACTTTCATCTGAATCAGGCAAGAAATGACAAAGTTTTAGGCATTGTCATAATTCCCCATTTATAGCTTATGGGTGAAATGTCGAAACAGCAAAACAGTGTTGATGAAACGAAATGGAACAGTGCTTTGAAACAAAATGACAAAACAAAACACTGTCTCTTCAAAATGGCGAAATGGAAGTCAAAACGAAACAGTGCTGTTTTGCACAGCCCTAGTACTAAGCACCCGCTGCTGTTGGCTTGTGTAGCTAGTAGAGCCCCTAGATCAGGGGTGGGCAAAATGCGGCCCGGGGGCCAGATACAGCCTGCCAGGCCATTCTATCTGGCCCGTGGGCTCCTATTAATTTTCTAAATTTTGTATTAATCTGCCCTAGGCTGCCTGTCATGCGGCCCTTGATGGCTTTCCAAAACTCAGTAAGTGGCCCTCTGCCCAAAATAATTGCCCACCCCTGCCCTAGATGGCAGCCCTGGGTAAGTCTTCCTTCCCAACTAAGTGGGCTAGGTGGTAGCTTCCCTGGGTTTGTTTGCCAGTGACTGATACTATTAACAGTTTCAGGATTCAGCTAATATTTTTAATAGCTGAACTTTTCTTCGAGGTTGTATTTGCTTCCAGTTCCCCTTTAATAAGCCCTGGTTTAGTGTTAACATTGCTTGCAAGTGGGGACGGCTGTTAACGTTAGCATGGCCAGTTAAAATTTGTTTTAAAAGTTTATGTTCCTATATATGAACCTGGCCCTTGTTACTGCTTTCCAGTATAGAAGGGTTATGTATGCAAAATAAAATGCACCAGGAATGTGATGGCAAACAGAGTGCAGTAGTTTACTTTAGTTGTAGAGAAGGTGACTGATATTGCAATTCAGAAATTCTATTATTTTTCAAAAACTAAATCAGTGTATCATTCCTATAGAAGTGGGTGACAGACATAGCAGCAAGACTTAGTCTTTGACAGCATCAAAGTTGTTTTTAATTAAATTGGCCGTAGTGATTTCTGCATGAAAGAAACTGTGACAAACAATTTATTTAGATTTGATTCTTCTGAGACACTATTTCTTTTTCTGTGCATTTCACAGCAAGAAAACCTTTCCTGTTGCTACTGAATAAAGTACCAATTAGCTACTATTAAAGGTCATGATTTACTAAGTTATATCAGATATATAAAAGGTGGATTTGGCCATGAGGCTTTGCTGCAGAAGAAGTGTTCGAGGAAAGAAATGGATAAATAGTTTGCTGCTCAGCCATACACTAGGAGTTGGGAGGCCTGTTGTGGAGAGAAGTTATAGGAGTGGCGGGTGATGACTAGTAATCCTTCTCTTTTTCAGAAACTGCAGATGAACAGTATATGAAGGCAGAGAGGGTAAAAGTTAACGGAATATTGTTGAATACACTGAGGCCGGAATTTGATTTGCTTGGTTCTAATCCACTGGAAAATGTCTGAATATTACTGCTCAGCTCTGAAAATGTTTTCTTTTTTAAGGACTGTTTTTTATAATATCTTGTTTTTTTCCAACGGTCTTTCTGCAGTATTTTTTCTAGTGTTGTCACTGGTAGCAACATATTAGTGCCAAGTCACATGATTCACATATATTTTATTAAGACACAGATGACAAAGATTCATTTAATCAAACAGCAACTTTCTAACATGCTGATATTTTAGAGATGCGACGTCTCCCATATGTGGATTCTGTACCAATTTTTTTAATGCCTCAGTCAAAGAGGTAATAACTACTGTGCATGGAAGAGCACTAACATCCCATTTTGCCAGTTGTATTCAGAATATATAAAATGCCTGAAGAGCAAAAAACAAACAACCAATTAATACAATTTCACTGCAGTTGCAATAACTGGTCACTGAGAACTTGTAAGACCCACAGTGACTAGCTGGCACACTGAATCCTTGCCAGAGTCCTTTTGATTAGTCCTTTGGCTAATACTTCATCCGTTAAAGCATAATTAGTAATTTTGAAGTGTACAACCTTATGCAGTAATTAGTTTTCCTGGTAATTAGTTGACTTAAAGGTTACTATCATGAGCCCTCCATAACACCTGTTCAGTTAGCTGATGCTTGCAAAACATTGACTATGCCTCAGCTTTTAATGGCTCAGCAAGATGTACATTGTCAACCATTACATTTTGTAGAATTGTCTTCTGTTTTCATGATGGCTGCATGTAAGAGTGCAAAGAAAAAATTTTGCCTGATTATTTTACTCTGTCATAATTGAGTAATTTTATAACATGAGCATTCTAAATTTTTGATGCAAGGAATTTTACATTAATCCTTTATCTGTATAATCATATAATTCTCACTCAGCCAGTCAGAGATGTATTTTTTTAGTTTTGCACCTTGATATTTCGTAATATTGATTTTTTTGATATTATTTTTAATGAAGAAAATTCTTTACTGTGCCACAAAATGGCAAGCAAAATATATCTCTCAAAGTTGAAAATGTCTAACGAGTGATTTAATCTCTTATTTATGGATGATTAGTCAGTGTTACCAATCCCCTCAGTGTGACAGATTAACAGATTTTACTATTCTAACTTGCATCTGTGTCTAACAAGTTCCGATATGTTTTTTTTGTCTAAAATGACATGAAGATGAACAGCTGCTTAAAATCCTTTTATACTTACTTTGAATGTATTTTCTTTCTTAATAAAAATTGAGCATTTGATTAGGAAACTCAGCCTTGTGCATTCTGTTGTAATGAAATAGTCCTCTTGTTTAAATCTTGCTGGAAATCCTGGGTGAAATGGTTATCTTTTCAAGTGTTAGCAGTAACAAAGTCTATTTTCAGGTAGCATGACTTTTAGTTCAGACTGAGAATATATAACTGCACTGGAACAAAGGATATATTTTAAGTCAACCTGAACATTTTCATTGTACATGGTACTGGCTTTTATCAGGATTGTGCTGATTTTGTGGCTTTGCTGAAGATTGCTCTTTTCTAAAAGAGAACAATTACAACACCATTTATTTATATTTCTTGTACGTGGGGAAAATTGCATGTAATGATAATTTTTGGTTTCTTTTTCTTTCAGATGGTTCAAGCTTTTTCTCATTGCATTCTCTGCTCTAAGGATGAAGTGGATTTGGATGAATTGCTTGCTGCTAAACTAGTAATGTTCCTCATGGACAATTATGATGAGATCTTGAACATCCCTTCCTCCTTACAAATTTCCATAGAGGAGCACGTAGGACATCTCCGGAGAGTGCAGGTGGGACTAATAAGAGTATTTCTCCTGTTCTGAGATAAAAATTACCCTGTCAGTTCTCAAAAATATGACAGATCTGTCAGCTTTTGCTAACTGTCTAGTATTCTAGGCACTGCATACTGAGCGACTGAATTGCTGCTGTTGATAAAATATGTTTATAACCTATTATTAACACTAAGAAGGGTATTTAAGGCACAGTAACTATGCAGGGAAAGACTAAAGCCCTTGGCAGGCATAACTAATGAAACATAGGGACTGGGACTTGGCTCCTAGTAAAGTTCTTAAATGCTTCTAACTGACCTCTTTCATCATTTTTAACTAAGAATTGGCTTCTAGCCAAACCACATACATAGATGGGCTGAAAGGGTGACCAAGTTTGATGCCTCAGATAATCATAGAGAAGTAGGGCTGGAAGGGACCTGCAAAGTTTATTTAATACAAACCCCTACTTGAGGCAGGATCATCCTTATCCAAACTATCCTATAGAAATATATTATCTAACCTCTTAGTAAAACTACAGTCAGCTGACACAACACAAGTCCTAACACCCTAACCTGCCACAAAGCAGCGGGACTGTGGCAGCCAGCATCCTGCTGCTGTAAAGGTTGTCAGTAAATGCTCAAGAGATCCCAGGAAGAGGGCCATGTCCGCCTGCTACAGAGGAAGGCAAAAACCCAGAGTCCCTACTAAGCTGACTGGGGTAAAATTCCTTCTTGACCCCAAAGATGGTGATTAATGACCATGACAAGAGGGACAAGACCCTCTAGTACAGAACCTCCAGACATAAGTCCACGCAGGAGGACTGGTACACCCCATCAAAATCCACAGTTATGAAGACGACAATTTTATCTCTATGTCCCGCATGGGTATGCCAATTCTAGAAGGGTAAGAAAGGAAAAGTAAAATGTTTAAGGAAAATAATGTTCTTAGTTAGAAGTAACCATAGCTAAGGGTAGTCTTATTTTGAGGAAGAGGGGTGAGGTATTTGAGTCTTCCAGAGAAAGCACCTGAAGATTCCTATACATTTGATAACCTGCTTCTTCATCAGGAATGAAAATCCTCATAGGCCAACCACAAAAGAACCGTTGGACTCATGCAGTCATATCTAACATACCTTGTTCAGGGTGGAGACAGGAAGAACTTTTTCCAGTTTGGCAGACAAATCCTCCATACACAGCTAAAGTGATTATGTAAATTAGTTGACTCGCAAGCCTTTACACTTTGGAAGGAAACTTCACTTTCTTCTCTCTCCTTCTGAGCTAGTTCCACTTCAGAAGGTCAAGAGCTAAATATGATATAGTGTCCTGTGTCTTTCCAAAAAAATGATTCTCTTCCATCATCTGTGCCAGTAAACTGATATTTAAAAATTCTGGTCAGAGATTCAGTAACCTATTAGTTTTATAGTAGCAGTTTTGTAGTTTTATCCAGACATTTTCTTTTGATGATTTTTTTTAAGTCTCTGTAGAGATAAGGAGTAGGTCTGTACTGCATAATTCTATGTTGTGTAGAGTCATGTGCTAGCTCTAAACAAGTAGGGTGTATTTAGTCTAGACAGAGCTGTATGCTAACATGACTACACTGGTTCTGGTATTTGAATTAGCTAACTCGGGACGTGTAGTTGGCAATGCATTGCACAGCATAAATATATCTGTGTTTAAACATTTTTATAAAGAAAGAAAGCTTCCACTGAAACATTTTATCCTCCCATGTCTTCTGTGATCTTGTCTCCTGTCCAAACTTGTTGAAGACAATAACCTCTGATTTAATGCTGCTTTTGTAAAGTCTTTATTTCCCTTGATCTACTCCCAACGTATCATCTGGGCATGCTTCTTATAGGAGCCTCTTCAGTTAGGAAAATCTTTGTGAGCAGTTTGTCTTACAACTGCAGTATAATACTACAGAAATGACTTGCAGTAAGGAATCTAAAACACAGGCAAGAAAAATGCTTGATTCTTACTGGTTTTTATGTTACAAGCCACTACCTGTCACTCTATTCCTACAACTCAGCTGCAGAATCCTATGCTGCTTTTCTTTGCTGAATTGTTCATTACCTATTTGGAAGTGAAGCAAGGATGAGACTTGAATGCACATCACCCTTGTATCGTAACAACTTCTCAGTCTGGTTTTATGGCTAATATTAAAAATCTTTAAATATGATTCCTTTTAATAACTGGCATAGCTGTGGATGGATTGAAAGTTCTCCACTTCAGTGTACACATGTAGAAATGTAGTAGTATTTAAGATCACATGATTCCTTCTACTATTTGTCTGTCTATAAAGCTGTAAACTGGCTGTATCATACTGTAATGTGATACATATATATGCATGTGTTAGATCAGTTTGGATTGTTTTTCATAAATGACTGGAGTGTTTTATTGGTACCTGTTTGGCATACAGATCTCTTCATTTTTCCTCATCCCAGTGGTACGGACATGGCTAGTCATGTTAGTCTGAAGTCAGGCAGAAGTAAAGGCAAAGCTTTAATAGGCAACAACCCATTGCATCTAAGCTGCCTATGAATAATGCTTCTTTGAACAAGTTAGCCTCTAAGGTGCCACCCTTCCCTACTTTCCTATCATAACAATATAATTTGATTTATTTATCATTTTGATATGCTTTTAGGCTAGCGATTTTTACTTAGTTGCTCTGTGTGTGTGTGTGTGTGTGTGTGTATATATATACACACATGAAAAATTTTTATTAGATTTATATCCCGCCCTATCCAAAAGGATCAGAGAGGATTCCCTGAACAACGAACGCATCAAAAGTGAGGGGGAGGAAAAAAGACCTGATTAAATCCGTTTGTGTGCTTGCAGGTAAACAGTTACAAATGTGTCAGGTTCTTATAACTGATTTTGAAACAGTCCATATAAAGTTACAGCAGTGGGAGCCAACCTTTTTGGCAGGTGTGCCGCAAATTAACCTTACACCCTCCCTGATGCCACTCCAGCTTCTTTCCCTTAGCTGATCTGTTGCTCAGCTTTGTGCTCCCTGACCAAGTTGCTGCTTTGCTTTCTGACCTCTGCCCTATTTGCTGCATGCCACACACAGGCTGCCCGTGCCACTTGTGACACCCACGCTGCAATGCTGATCGCCCCTGAATTACAGGGTCAATGTTTTTGTATGGTTTTGACTTTTTTGGTGTTGGCATAATAACATAGTTCTCTACTGTCATCTTTCAGCCAAGGCTCTCAGTGCCCTTATTATCATTTGAATGCAGGGAGATGCAATATTCTGAGTTCCTTTATATTCATAAGATGGTGCTAGAAACAGAAAGCATCAAAGGTAACAACAACTAGAGACAACCAAATTTATCTGTGCAGTGTGCACATTCATAGACTACTCTCTAGGCCATCAGTGCAGCTTTTCTAAAGAGAGGAGCCTTGTCTTACATGGCACTTTTAGGGTGATATTCAGTTAAAGTAGGAGCTCCATAACTATTCCCTGCTTCCTTTAGCCAGCCAACAGGATCTTTGTGCTAACTTCACTCCTCTGGCTCTTACCAGTTTTCTCCCAGCCTTTCCAGTTTCCTAACAACTTTGTCAGTTTTCCCCACAAGTGCCATTGTTCTCCCTCTCCCTCTCCCTCTCCCTCTCCCTCTCTCTCTCTCTCCCCCCCCCTATCTTCTAGTAAAATAGTTATTAATTCTGTATTTCTGTTAAGAAGGGTCTGGCCAAACTGAAGCATCAGCATGTTTCTTGTTGAAGACCACAGGGACCAGCAAATCAGCAGTAAAAAGATGGCAACAGAACTGAGAGCTGTTGACTCCCCTGTTTCCCTCAAACAAGGATAATTTTGCCAACTTTCGTCTTGAAAATATAGCAGTTTTCTCTCTCTCTCCTTCAGATAAAATATGCAGGAGCTGACACTGATGCAACTTTTCTTGCTCCATCATTTTGTCATCAAATTAGTACAGATGAGTTTGAGTATCAACGAGCAAATGGCTCTCAGGAACCACTGGCCGCTTTGTTAGAAGAAATTGCAATGAATAAAGAAATATCCATCAAAGACAAGAAGAAGAAACTGAAACAGGTGAAGAAAATTCTCCAAAATCCTGGGCTGTTTTCCTTTCCAACTCTGTGTGTGTGTGTGTGTGTGTGTGTGTGTGTGTGTGTGTGTGTGTGTGTGTGTGTGTGTGTGTGTGTGTGTAAAGATTACCATCGTTGGCTTCTGCTTAGGCTTTGGTGTGGAGAAACAAGACACAGTAAAGGAGTGGGGTGCTGGCAAGCCATGGTTCAGAGGAATTTGCTATTACTTTTTTTGTCTCACCCTCCTATCCCAGATGAAGTTGAGCTAACACACTAGAATTTTACTGCTGGTTTCATTTAGGGGTAAATCATTAAAAATGACCCCATCCCTTCTCCCACTGCCACGCGCACACAAATAAACATGAAAGTGTAGTGTAGATCCAATATCTTGTAACGTTTTAACATTTGAAAAAATATGGTTCCAAACAGGATATGTTCAGAGGTTATATTTGTCATGTCCATATGCATTCACATTATCTCGAAGAACTCAACTCCCAGTTGTATTTCTAGTTCTTCAAGTGAAATATTGTTTGTTCAACTATTAGGCTGATAAAGTAATATGATTAAAAGGTAGAAATGTATTTCTGTATAGTTTTAAGATTGTAAGACTTTTGTAATAAAATGCTGCATCAAACTATAGACTTCAGTTCTCTAGAGGAAGAGAAGGTTTTGAGTCTAGACACTCTTAGAGATTTGAAATTTTACTTTAATTTCTCAGTTGTTCAAAGAAGAGGTTTTCTTTTCCAATATGGAAAAAGAACATCACATTTTTAGATATACTGCTATAGACTGTGAGCCCCAAGAAGGCATCTTTGCCCTAGGCTATGTAACAGATTACATACTTTCTTTTTTTCTAATATATTTTCCAGTGGCTGAATTCAGCCTTTTGGTTGTGTTCTCTGAACTGTACTTCTTTTCTAGTTTCAGAAATCCTACCCTGAAGTATATAAAGAACGATTCCCTACTTCTGAAACTGAAGCAGTGCTGTTTCCTGAAAAATCTAAACAGAAATCACAGCTGCTGATGTGGGCTTTAAAGAAACCTTTTCAACCATTTCAAAGAACTAGAAGCTTTCGGATGTAATTCATCCTTATGGTCATTAACAAACTGTATCTTGGCATATCATCAGTAGGATAGATCTTGTGCAAAAAGGAACTAAAGAGCAGTTTAACTACTGGAAAAAAACTTTGCTAAGAGTGGAAAAGGTTATAAAGGTAAATGTGTGTGTGTGGCGGGGGGCGTGCTTTGTTGAGCCATCATCAGTATTGTAAATCATTTCTAATTCATGTTACTGTTAAAGAATGAGATGGTTGACCCATATCAATGGGAATGGGGGACAAAATTGGCTTGTTTGTAGTTGTTGTTTCAAACTTTTTAGATGTGTATTTTTTTACATAGTTAATGTACAGTTGATTACTGGTCACTAGTATTTTTCTTGAAAAGATACTGTATTGTGTAAACTAGGTTATATTTGTTTGTAATTGACATGCACCAGGGGTCAAGATGCTGTATATACTTGAATGAACTTGAAACACTGGATCTGGTACTGCCTTGCTGGCTGGGTAGCATAATGCCCTTGATGTACTTTGTACGTACTTTGTAATGTTGATTTCAGTTGTGTGCAAAACTTGCCCTTCATTTCTTCCCTCATATGGCAGAGGATGGCCTGGTCTAGCCTACTGAAGTTCCATTGACCTTTGTGATGGAGGACAAGGCCCTGAAGCATTTCTCACACGATCTTCCTGAATATTGCCATGCAAAGCTGGACAGTAATCTAATTTAGGGGTTATCGTTAGGGGTGCCACAAGACCCTTTCAGGAGTGCTGCAGCATGATCGCTGCCATTGCGGCGAAGTAAAAACCCCCCTGTGTCTCATGCACAGCCACACAGGAAGGGCTCTTGCATGAATGCATGTTCCTCCTGCTTATCTGATAAGCCTAAAGCAGGCAAAAGAACCTGGATGTGCTGGGCTGGCTCCCTCTGCTCCCCCAGTATCAGAGGCATGTGTGTTAGTTCTACCTACCCTACATGCCTCTACTTCCAGGAAGTGCCATGCAGGGTCAAACCAGGAAGGGCTGCTGCAAGAGTAGGCTCTCTTGCCCACTTTAGGCTTATCATATAATCCTAATGCAGGAAGAGGGCACACTTGTGCTGCAGCCCTTCCCAGTCTAGCCAGCCAGGAGGCTTGTGGAGCACTTAGCCAGCATTGGCAGACCCTGATTTGAGGGGTACTGAGAGGCTGAGGCAGCAGAACTGGTTTTCAGCTGGGCTGCTGCCACATTCAAAATCTGTTAAAGGGAATCTAAAAAAGGTTGAGAACCACTATTCTCATTAATCAGAAAAAATAAAAGGCTTTGTATTCTGTGAAAAGGGAGGTGCTTATCACAAAATTGTCAAATAATTGAGGATTTTTAATGAGGACTTACATTTGCTCTGTATAGTGAATTCTACTGTACATACAACTTGTATGTGAACTGGAAGCACTTCTGCTTTTTTTTCAGTCATTAAAGCATTAACACTTTAAGATAATTACTTAGAGGCAGTGGTTTTTATCATAGTCATCGCTTTAACAAACACCCCTTCTGAAAGAGTGGCAACATACTGTTGAATCTTCAGAGTGGACTCTGTGAAAGATAGTGGGTGTCTGAAACAACTTCCCATTTTGAAGTTACAAGAATCTGAAGGTGGTTATGCTTCAACATTAGTTTTGCTTTGCTAACATACTAGCTTGGTACACATAGAAGCATACACATTACAAAGCTTTTGGTTTATCACATTCACAAGTGTTTATCTAGCTTTGTGTTTTTGCTTAAGGGCATCTGGTTTCCACAACTGGTTTTTCTTTTCTGTCTTCCTTCTCGTGTGTGTGTGTCTATCTGTCTTTGTAACTATGGTACACTTTTGCTTTAGTAATATTTTTTCCCTTGAAAATGAGCTTGGGAATTTTTAAATAATAATTATGACTAAAATGGGAAATGCTTTTGAATTGCTATTGTCTCTTGTATATATGCAGTGACTTTATTCCCATGTTACTTTGGTTTGTTCTTCTTGGAAGGGCACAGCAGCCCCCCTGGCTCTCCAGGGACCTAGCAGACCTCCTGAGGCTAAAAAGAAAGGCCTACAAAGGATGGAGGATGGGAGTCACCTCCAAGGAGGATTATTCTGCACTGGTCCAGTCCTGTAGGGAGCAGACCAGGAAAGCCAAGGCTGCAACTGAACTCCAGCTAGCTTCGAGCATGGATACCTTCAAGTCAGCTGGCCCTGACAATCTTCACCCCAGGGTACTCAAGGAGCTGGTGAGCATCATAGCCCAGCCTCTAGCACGGATCTTTGAAAACTCTTGGCGCTCTGGTGTAGTGCCCGAAGACTGGAAGAAGGCCAATGTGGTGCCTATCCTCAAGAAAGGGAGGAAAGTGGATCCGGCTAACTATAGGCCCATCAGCCTGACTTCTATCCCGGGGAAGATCTTAGAAAAGTTTATTAAAGAGGCCATCCTTAATGAACTGGCCGACG